GTTTTCTCGTTTAGGGCACACGTATTTTTTTTAATTGGGGACCATACGCCGCTTTTCATGGAATGGCACGGAAGTGTCACATTGAAGGTTCTATGATTACCGCCGTATGAACACATCTGCGGATGTTTCTATATTCAAAATTTTCTTATTTCATATTTAAATGTTGAATTCTGCTTAAGCCGGTGCTAGGGGGCGTGGTTGGTAACTTGCACTTTCCAATACCGTCCATGAACAGGCTCAATCAAACCGAGCCTGCAACATTTTCAATTTTGCCGTGTTGGGCTTTCTTTAGGGATTCTGTATTTATCTATTTTTTGACGTCTTATCTGTGATACGCAGGCTTCATAACCTCTGATCCCCTTTCAAAATTCCATTTTATTTAGTTCCGCCCATTGTTTTCTCGTTTAAGGCACACGTATTTTTTTTAATTGGGGACCATACGCCGCTTTTCATGGAATGGCACTACTGTGTCACATTGAAGGTTCCATGATAACCGCCGTATGAACACATCTGCGGATGTTTCTAAATTTCAAAATTTTACTATTTCATGTTTAAATGTTGAATTCTGCTTAAGCCGGTGCTAGGGGGCGTGGACGGTAACTTGCACTTTCCAGTACCGTCCATGAACAGGCTCAATCAAACCGAGCCTGCAACATTTTCAATTTTGCCGTGTTGGGCTTTCTTTAGGGATTCTGTATTTATCTATTTTATTTTCAGTACTGCTCATGAACAGACTCAATCAAAAATCTGGAAACAAAGTGAAAAATTGAAAATGTTGCTGGCTCGGTTTAATTGAGCCTGTTCATGGACGGTACTGTCGAGTGCAAACTACTGTCCACACCCCCTAGCACCGGTTTAAGCAGAATTTAACATTTATCATGAACTGTACAATTTTGAAACATCCGCTGATGTGTTCATATGGCGTTTTTCATGGAACCTTCAATGTGACAGGTAAGTGCCATTCCATGAAAAGCGGCATATGGTCCCAAGTAAAAAATGCGTAAAGTTATTCATATATGTGTTTCTTTAAAAAAAACAAGAATAAAGATCAACAAGGCAAAGGCAACGTTCACAGTACGTCGGCCCCCCGACACACTAAAAAAACCTGGACCCATTCAAAGGAAAATCAAAATCTAAATAAGAAGAAAAAAACAATAGGGAATGAAATATGAAAAACAAGATCATCAAGGAAAGGCGGCGTTCAATGAACGCAACCCCCATATGACCCAGCAACAAGAACCAATGGCAAGGAGCCAAGGTGGACCCCAAACATAAAAAGGACAGGGCAACGACACGTTAATCATTAAATGATAAATAATTTGTAACTGATTAGGAATTCAAAGAAAATAATAATAGGCCCACAAAGGGGAAGGGGACAGGAGACCGGGGGAAGGGGGGGGGGGGGTTAATCAAAGAAACAAAAATGAAAATGAAGACGTGAAATTATAGTTATGGCTTAAAAATGTCACGTGAGCTGATGAAAATGGAAATTTATTTTTCATGAGATTTCTGAGCGTGAAGACTAAAAAGAGACAGACGGACATGTAGGTTGCCTATCGCACACAACAGGGATCAGTAAAAAAGATAAATACAGAATCCCTAAAGAAAGCCCAACACGGCAAAATTGAAAATGTTGCAGGCTCGGTTTGATTGAGCCTGTTCATGGACGGCACTGGAAAGTGCAAATTACCGTCCACACCCCCTAGCACCGGCTAAAGCAGAATTCAACAGTTAAACGTGAAATAGTAAAATTTTGAATTTAGAAACATCCGCAGATGTGTTCATACGGCGGTTATCATTGAACCTTCAATGTGACACTTCCGTGCCATTCCATGAAAAGCGGCGTATGGTCCCCAAGTAAAAAAAAGCGTGTGCCCTAAACGAGAAAACAATGGGCGGAACTAAATACTATGGAATTTTGAAAGGGGATCAGAGGTTATGAAGCCTGCGTATCACAGATAATACGTCAAAAGACAAATTTAAAAAGCAGACTATATCCTAAGGGTGATTCAACATTATTCAAGTAGGAATATTGGAACCACCCAACTAGAAAATGCCGAAAAGTTGAAACTAAAAATACCACAAGCACAACAATAATGTCGTGCTGAACGATCTTCAAGGATCGAAAATATAACATCATTGATTAAATGTACGGGGAGACTTTTTACAGCCGCCACACGGCACAAATAACACGGATGTGATCATAAAATAGATAAATACAGAATCCCTAAAGAAAGCCCAACACGGCAAAATTGAAAATGTTGCAGGCTCGGTTTGATTGTGCCTGTTCATGGACGGCACTGGAAAGGACAAATTACCATCCACGCCCCCTAGCACCGGCTTAAGCAGAATTCTACATTTAAACGTGAAATAGTAAAATTTTGAATTTAGAAACATCCACAGATGTGTTCATACGGCGGTTATCATGGAACCTTCAATGTGACACTTCCGTGCCATTCCATGAAAAAAGCAGGCAACATATCCTAAGGGTGATTCAACATTATTCAAGTAAGAATATTGGAACCACCCAACTAGAAAATGCCGAAAAGTTGAAACTAAAAATACCACAAGCACAACAATAATGTCGTGCTGATCGATCTTCAAGGATCGAAAATATAACATCATTGATTAAATGTACGGGGAGACTTTTTACAACCGCCACACGGCACAAATAACACGGATGTGATCATAAAATAGATAAATACAGAATCCCTTAAGAAAGCCCAACACGGCAAAATTGAAAATGTTGCAGGCTCGGTTTGATTGAGCCTGTTCATGGACGGCACTGGAAAGTGCAAATTACCGTCCACGCCCCCTAGCACCGGCTTAAGCAGAATTCAACATTTAAACGTGAAATAGTAAAATTTTGAATTTAGAAACATCCGCAGATGTGTTCATACGGCGGTTATCATGGAATATTGATAGACATTCTTGGAATGCAAACTTACCCGGTACACGCAGGGGGATGGGGAGGAACTGTTACTTATGACAACTTGTCAGAAGTTCTTGTGATAACTTCTTTGGTATTAACTCCATACGGTCTATAGGTTCTAAATTTATTTTTCCACAAGTTTTCTATTGTTTTTCTGTATTGGTCATTCCCGTATAGCTTTTCCAGCCCCATTATTGAAAAATCATTAACTGTGTGGTCGTTCGTGTAAAAATGCACCGCTAACGGATCGGTTAAGAAGGTGTCTTTGGTACAACGTATCCCCTGTTTCTCCAACATAAATATAACGTTCGCAACGCTTACAATAAACTGCATACACAACATTCGTAGATTTGCACGTGATCTGATTTCGAACCTTATACGAGGCCCCGTTCACACCAATGAATGTGTCTGCTTCAATAACGTACGGACAAATCGCACACTTTTTGGATCTGCAAGGAGCACAGGAATTCGGCTGTTGAAAAAATAGTTTATTGTGTTTCTTATGAACGAGAATGTCTTGTAGGTTATTATCTCTTCTAAATGCTGCAATTGGTGGATTCGGGAATATTTCCTTCATTCTATCTGAGGTGTGTAATTCAGGTAGGTGTTTTCGTACTATTTGTCCTACATTCGGAAGCGCTCTGGAAAATGTCAGTACAAAGGGGATTCTTTCAGTGTTTTCTTTATCTTCATTATAATGTAATAGGTCACTTCTTTTTTTACTATCTACTTTATTTAATTCTGTTTCAATATGTCGATCTTCATAGCCTCGTTTCTGTAACTGAGTTTTAATATTTTCTCTATGTTGTTTGTAAGTCGATTCATTAGTACATATTCGCTTAGCACGGAGGGCAAGTCCATATGGTATTGATTTTTTTGTCCGGCAGACTGCAAACAACGCCACGGCGGGCGTCGTTCATTGACGTTACGTCACTTCCATTGTTTTGTTTGATATATTTGTATGTAGAATAAATGCTGCTGAAGAAGGCCGAAAGCTACGGCAAATTTAAATTAGCGTTTTTGCTTATATATATATCAAAACATTGACTGTTATAATGTTGATTTACCAACACTTGATATTGAAAAATGTTTAAAATAAAATATAATTCTGCTGAAAAGACTGTCCCACTCTTTTTTTGAAAATTGAACGTTACAAACAGATAATTACCGATGGATATTTTTTAGGAAATAGCCATGCGAATTATTTATCTTTCATACGAAATAGATTATAGAATTTTAAAGAACAATGGCAAAATGTAAACTTATTTTGATTTACTAATTGATTTTTCAAAGATTTGTTTTATCCTTCTTATAAAGTTTATCTTAGTGTCCAGCAACCCAACAGTAATGTAAAAAGAAGGGAAAGTCGACACTTCGAGCCAAACATCATTTAAAGCTACATTAACTATTTTTGCCGTCGGCCTAAAAACCAAGCATTCTACAGTTTCATTAACCTTTTTTACAGTATCGTTGTAAATGCATCAAATATTGTTCATAAATTAGGATTTTAAATGGAAAACCCCACGGTAACACTAAAGTTTGTATACGAATTTTAACATGCAAATGAAGACTATAATCAACTCGTGTACGCGCTACGTCACGGTGTTATAGTTGCTATCCGGAACACAGCAAATATAAAATTTTCTTGTGCAAACACACTTTAAACCGTTTAAGCTTCACGGTGCACTAGACCTGGGGTTTAGAAAAATTATCATCTCATAAAAAAGATTAAATTTATATGAAAACATCCGTTGAAATTCGGAAATATACCGTTAAATTAGGACTGTTACTTACAGCCATGTTTGTGATGATCTGAAGCGGAGTTTCTCATGCAAACAGAAATTGAACTTTCATTTTCGCCACAATGAGGTTACACATTTTTATGCTCATAAAAAACTCATTTTGGTTGTCTGGACACCAAAACAAGATCTAAAGTCGATATGAAACTTAATTTTTTAATGAAATGTCGCTATTTCTGTTTTTGTGAAATTGATTAAATGTAACTTAAAAGATAGCAAATTTCACAGCGTATCATAAAAATGATATCAAAAAATGAAAATACATTTACCGGATCTCGGAAAACTGCATACCCACACATCATCTTGTCTGGTATTCATACTTTCAACTTGGTCCATTTCCTCGCGCAGTTTACTGTATATAACTTCACCCTTGTAGATTTCCCTCTGCGGTAATATGCTTTTATTCGAAGCCATCATTATTGTGTCCACGAATAGGCCAAACTAAACACTGTCTACCTATTTTGCTATGTTATCATATTAAAACAATGTCACCTGTTTGTTATGTGTAGATAAGGTCAATTTACTGCTTATCTGTATACTCATCCTATATTTACAAACACAGTTGTAATCACTGTAGTGAACAAGTAAAAAATTGCTGGGAAATGCAGCAATGTGATTGTCACGGCGAAAAAAAGAAAAAATACCAAAAAAAACAGTTATAAGTATAATGTTAAGGTATGTTCAAATAGCATCGAGTTTAATTGACAGGTTAACTTGTTAAGAAGGTTTTTGTATTTTCTGATCGTATGATCAGTAAATACATAGCTAACTCCCACGGTCTAACACAAAATTTCCTAACAGTCCTAACAACGCAAATAGTTCTTACTCAAAAACTGCTTAAAAACCAGCAATTTAAAAGAAAGAATAATTTTTAATGTAGGCATTTAACGAATTACAGTGCATTAAAAGTTTTTAGATTAGTCAATAGAAAATATGAGGTTACAATCACAAATTTCGCGGATGAATATCTTTTTTACCCAATGAAAAATGTTCGGCTATTTCCGTAAAGCTTCGGATTATCATGAATATCATTTTAATCAATGAAAATGCTATTTTTAGCTATGCCAATTACCGAATACTCCAGAGCGTAGTACACAAATAAATCTGACTGTCGAGTAGTGGAATATATACAAAGTCATGTCGGACTGTTTTGGCGAGAAGATTTTCGATAAATTATTTTCATCAGTGTTAAACTGTAACAATATCAGATACTAGTCTAACCTGCATGATTATTTTACCTTGACCTTTATACTATCAGTACTATTCCATTAATGCTTGAATGGGCAGTTCTTATGTATAGACAGGCGATTCCCGCCACTAGCCACTTCTGAGATTAAACTTGAAAAGCTCACATAGATCTGTGTTCTTACTTCAATCTATTCACATTTGTGAATTACTGAACTCCGTATCCATAATAAATATACGTACATAAATTACACGAGACATATTACAGTTAAACAACACGTTTATCGTGAACAAAATACCTCGAAATTAATAAGGATTACAAACACGAAATGGAAATTCTCAATTTAGAATTACATAATGAAGAAGAAGAAGAAGAAGAACGTTTATTTCACTTAAACTACAAGTTTCTCGTGATTAACATATATACAAGCATACATATATAATGACATGAAAAATACAATGACATGAAAGTAAACATAATAATTATATTGGATGGACAAAACAAAATAGAGATGACACAAATATTAAAGCATAATGGATATTACATACACAGTAGTATACACAATAAAACTTTCATTAGTTGGATCTGTTAGGTATACATAAAAGTAGGTTGAAAATACATATATCTAAGCATTAATAATCTGATATCTTAATTTGAAAGCTTCATTAATATATTTACAAAGCATAATTGTTTCTTTATTTTTATCACTTTTTAATAATTGAGTAAACTTAAACATACTTGGTCTATTTCTATAATAATTCTTAATATATATATTTCTTAAATTTTCATATGCAGGACACTTAAACACAAAATGGAAACTCGTCCTCAATTTCATTTGTATTTTGCAAATTTTAAAACAATTATCTTAAATTACGCTCTACTCTTTCACGTGAATATCTACCTGTCTGTATTCTAAGATTATGAGCTGAAATACGCATTTTTGTCAAAGCTATTCTTAGTTTCTTGATACAATATTTTCTAAATAAGGTGACATTTCAAAAAACTGTCCTTTACTTGATTTATATAAAAATAATACATCATTACAATTAATACTAGCTCTCCATTCTTGTAAAATATTCATCTATTAATCTCTGTTTAAAAACGACAATAAAAACAATTTTGATTAACGCTTAAAGGGTTTAACCATACATCAAAAAAAACCGTATTTTTTCTAATAGATTTCGTACATTTGCAAACCAGTTTGTATACCCTATATTTATATCAGACATACATGAATTAACAATTGTAGTTATAATAATATTACTTGAACTTATTATCTTAAACCAAAGTTTTACAATTCGGACATACCTGTTTATATACAACGGATATCTTCCAAGTTCACCATACACAGCTACGTTACTAGTAGATTTTCTAACACCAAGAATAGTTTTACAAAATTTCAAATGAATATTTTCTAACTTTTTTTGATTTGTAAAAACCCCATACTTCACTTGCATACATTAAAATAGAACCAATAAAAGAGTCGAACAACTGTAGGGCTATTTTTGGTTTTGTTTCATATTTTTTCAAATTTGCCACTAAATTATTTAGGGCTTTTAAACTTTTACCATACAAAGTTTGAGTATTTAAGTTAAAATTTCCTGTATAATTCAATGTGACACCTAGATAATTAAAATCATTTACAATTTCTATATTATCTTGACCATATAACCAGTTTTCTCCTGCTCTTAAACCACCCCTCTTACGAAAAACTACGATTTTGGTTTTGTTAACATTAACTTCTAATCCCCATTTATTACAGTATTCATGAAGCTTATTTAATGAATTTTGGAGATCTAGATAATGATCATAATGTATTCGTTTTTATTCAAGGTTCATATGTATAACTTCGCCGTGGTGCAGAGGTAAGCGGTCTCGTTGAGGGTGTGAGAGGCCTATGGTTCAAATTCTAGTCGAGGCAATTTTTTTTCATGCAAAATTCCATATGTAAATCTCAAACTGTTATAGAAGAAAATCAAAACGCTGTCGCTGCGTAAGATGAATAATAGTATATAAAACTAAACTTATACAGGAAAGTACATACAGATAGTCAGTATGATTTAGATTGCAAAGATCAGAAAATACCAAAGAGCTGCAGCCCTTTGATTGGCGTCCGCGCCGAAGCGCGGCGCTCTTATGGAATGAGATCAGATTTTGTGAAAGGGCGACAGCAACTTCTCGAGCCTTTTAGTCGGTCATAATAAAAGCCGAAAATTCCGATCGGTATGAGGGTGCTTGATTATTATTAAATAAGAATGAAATGTCGCGATATGTTACAATGAATTTTCGCAATGCAAACATTTACAAATGAAATAAACCTTTTCCGTCAATAAATCGCGCTCTTCGGGTTTTTTATTTATCATTTTGTAGTACACAGTCGGTTATCATGTCATGGTATGTTATTGTTGTACATGTATCCTAGAATGATCAGTTGATGACCTAAATATTCCAAAAAACCCTATTTATAGATATATCTTTTTATCACTCCTATCGGTAAATGCCGGTCTCTCCCGGTCTATTTTGACCAGGATTTACTAGTGACCGGCGAATAGTACCACACGTTATATTGTCCGGTCTCTCCCGGTTTTGGAGTAGATGTTTGATATCGTTACAATTAGAAAAAAAAAAACAATAGCATGTTTTATTTTATCTATATGAGATAAAAACAATAAATATGTACACGGATTTATATGTAATATAAATCCGTGATATGTACAATAATTGAGAAAAGGGTACATTTTTTATGGTATTAAAATGAAATTATCAACTTTGAAACATTTTATTTAATTATTCAATTTGTTATCCGTGTTTAGTAAAGATGCCGAGGAATTATTCAAAGTTACAAATTAGATTTTATGAATTATTCAATTGATCGATAATTTAAAAAATGATAAAGAACAATACAATGTACATGTACATGGTTTAAGAATAAACAATATTATATATTGAAAGATAAACCATAATTTACTGACTTTTTCCAGTTAAGCTTTGACTTATAATCGTCTGTCAATATGACAATTGAATTCTTAAAATTTATTTTACAATTTTAATAAAAAAGAGTAGTAAAAACTCAGTATTAAAATAGCACATAAACACAAAAAAGAATAAAAGAAAACAATATTCATAAAATTTGTATTTTTTTTTAAATTAAAATTAATAGATATTACAATTATTGTATAATAAACAATTATGCTCAACATGATCAACATGGTAATATAACCAGTGTCATATTTTTACTAACTTAAATTGTGAACAGATACCTTAAGGGGGTCTTCGCTAATAGCGATAACATGTACATAATAAGGGACAAATGTGTGGTACGTGTTGATCATGCGTTACACATATGGATTATAAATGATTGCATACATGTATATCCGTTGCTATTAATAACCACGATCATAAAGAAATAACAAGTAATATTCTAATCTCTAGCATGCCAATCAAAGTTCATAATGAACAATGTCTTTCGTCCGCTCATTCATAAGTGGTATACATTTCTGGTAGTTTATAAGAATATCTTGTCATCATATGTGTACTAGTTCATCTTCACTTGCTGCATTTCTTGCTTGGACGCCCTTTGATGCTTTGCATCAATGCTTTTCTTGTTAAGTATTGTAATGTAACTTGTTACAAGAGCCATGCATATGTGGTAGAGCAGAATAATTTATCATTCTTGTGTACTGCATACCTCTTGAGTGAGATCTATCCACATTTTCATGTTGATATCTCAAAGGCTTTTGTAGTTATGCTCTGAACGAAATTAAGTATGAAAAGTAACAAAGGGCAATACCTGAAAAATAATGCAGGGTAGGTGTGTGCCGCACTCGTCCTCAATGAGATTTATCTTAGACTTATGAAGTTTCATGTTAATACCTCTAACACTGTTTGAGATAAGCTCCGGACAAAAAGTTTGAAAAACAAGCAATTATCATAGTATTGCAAGCAATCCATAAGTCCCCTACCGGTTAGAACCCCATCAGCATTCTGAAGGGCAATTGGCCATTCACTAATGTTTAAGTAAATTTGTTGGAAATGTTCTTTAAAAGTGATCACAGGAAAAAGTTTTTATGAACAGACAGACAGACGGACTGAAGGACACTCTAAAGTTAATATTTGAAACATCCCTGTTACCAAAATATAACATTTTAAAAAGCAAAAATTCTTAAAGAGGAGATAACTCTGGAAATTTCT